CTCACCCCTTCATTTAAGGGGAGGAGCCTTGGCAAGCCCTCAAGCGGCCTCCTTAAATTCCTGGGTGATGGGGGGGGGGTGGATAGATGTAATGGGAGGAGGAGGAGGAAGAAGAGGAAGAGGAAGAGGAAGAGGAAGAGGAAGAGGAGGAGGAGGAGAAGGGGTCGAGTACCTCCCTCAAGTGTGTCTACTTAAGCGTTTGGTCTTAAGTGTGGCCAGCTCGTTAGGGCCATCACCGAGTTGGCACACAGATATTGAGAAAGATGGCCATTTGGCTTCTTCTTTTTTCAGTTCAGTTCAGGGGTGAGTCTGTCTGTCTGTCTGTCTGTCTGTCTGTCTGTCTGTCTGTCTGTCAATATATCGGTTAGTTTGGGGAGTTATTCTGTCTGTCTGCGTCTCTGTCTGTAGTCCATAATCTAACGACAATAACAACACAAAAACAACAAAGACAACAACAATAACAACAACAATAACAACAACAATAATAATAATAATAATAATAATAATAATAATAATAATAATAATAATAATAATAATAATAATAATGATAATAATAATAATAATAATAATAATAATAATAATAATAATAATGTAATTATAATAATAATAATAATAATGTAATAATGCAGAAATTAATATATATATATATATATATATATATATATATATATATATATATATATATATATATATATATATATATATATATATATATATATATATATATAAGCACAGACGAAAAATATTAATTTCTAACGTAAAAAAAAATATAAATTGGTCCATGGTTAAAAATTTGCTCGACATGGAAAGAAAAATATGATGAAGAGGGTGGATAGAGGACCACTAGATAATAACTGAGAGAGAGAGAGAGAGAGAGAGAGAGAGAGAGAGAGAAGGGGAATTACGACATACGGGGAAGGTGATAAAAATACAAAAAAGAAAATTTAAATAGGTGGTAGGAAAAGTGAGAGAGAAAGTGAGGGAAAGTGAAAGTGAGAAGTGAGAAAAGTGAGAGAAAATGAGACCAGAGAGAAATGAGGGGAAAAAAGAGGGAAAATAAGAGGAAATTAGAAGGATAGGTTAGCAGAGACTGGCTTGGCGTATTGGATAGATTGACGAATGGTTAGAGAAAGAAAGAAAGAAAGAAAAAGAAAGAAAAAAGAAAGAGAGAAAGAAAGAAAGAGAGAAAGAAAGAAAGAGAGAGAGAGAGAGAGAGGGGGGGGGGTTAATTGGTCGCCCACACACACACACCGCAGGGAAGCAAAAGAGACAGATGCCATATAAATGTTGATGGACTGCCCACTAGGAGTCATTTCCCCTGGCACTAACGCTGGCACTGTCCCTCTACTACCCCTGTCACTCTCTCTGTTACTGTATCTGGCACTGTCTTTGGCATTATTCTTGACACTATTCCTGACATTATTCCTGACACTATTCCTGACACTATTCTTGTCACTATCCTTGGCACTATTCCAGGCACTATCCTTGACACTATTCCTTGGCACTATACTTAGCACTACACCTGGCACTATACCTGTCCCTATCATTGACACTATTCCTTGGCACTATACTTAGCACTACACCTGGCACTATACCTGTCCCTATCCTTGGCACTATATTTGGCACTATTCCTGGCACGTTTCATACTCAGCCATACGTGCGTGCCGAGACACCTGAACGGTAGCCATTTATTATTGAAGTAACTCCTCTCTCTCTCTCTCTCTCTCTCTCTCTCTCTCTCTCTCTCTCTCTCTCAGGCGGGCGTCATCCTACACCCGTGAGGTGCCTGAGAGGGGGGGGAGGAGGGGAGGGGGGATAGAGGTGATAAAGAGGGGATTAAGAAAAGAGGATAAGGTGAGGGAGAGGATAAGGGAGGATGGAAAAGAAGGAGAAGGGAAGAGATGTGATAAAGAAGGTGTCAGGGAAGAAGATGGGGGGAGGAGGTGAGAGGAAGTAAAGGGTAAGGGAGAGGAAGTAAAGGGAAGGGGGGAGGGAAGGGGAGGGGAGAGGAGGGGATGGAAGTGGAGGGGAGGGGAAGGGAAAAGGATATGGTCAGAACCCAACCCACATTACAGTTTTTTTTAAATAAAGTGAATTCACGTCGTACCTCTATACCAGACAGACAGACAGACAGACAGACAGACAGACAGACAGACAGACAGACAGACAGACAGACAGACAGACAGGCAGACCCAATACCGCATATTACTTTCAACATATTGTATAGCTTGAACACACACACACACACACACACACACACACACACACACACACATATATATATATATATATACATACATATACGAGACACATATAAAAAGAGGGTTGGGTGGGCAAAAATATATCAAAAGGAGACTACCCAATCCCCTATATGCAATGTACTGTACAGAGTGAGTCCAAGCCCTGGTAATGGACTGGTATTGACGATCAGTGATAACAGGTCAGGGTTGTATTGCTATTTTTAGATTATAATTTTTTTTTTATTCGTGATTTTCTATTTAGTTTTTTTATCTTCGTAATTAATTTAGTTTTAGTTTATTTTTAAATTCGATGGAGAAAACTAATGACTTGGTTCAGTAATTCCCAATGACACAGCCTGACATATCCCTTATAATCTCAAATATCCCTATACCATCACACACCCCCACACCCCTCCCTCACACACTACGCCCCACCCCACACCCCCCACGCCCCACACCCCACACGCCCCCCACCCCCACGCCCCCACCCCAACATGCACAATAGCCTCGTGGTGTCGATCTAGTGGCGTCCTAAGACAGGGGGAACAAGCCTGTGGGGTGATAACCTGCGCTACTTCCTGAGCTTTGGTTAATGAGGGGGGGAGGGGAGAGGTCAAGGTGGGCAGGGGGAGGGGAGGTGAGGGGTCAAGGTGGGCAGGGGGGTGAGGAGAGTGGTGGGTGAATGTGGGAGGGTAGGTAAGGTGGGGAGGGGTGGGGGGGTGGGGGAAGGTGGGGAGGGTAGGTGAGGGGAGTGGTGGGAGGTGGGTGAAGGTGGGGAGGGTATGTTAGGTGGGAGTGGTGGGAGGTGGAGGTTTGGGGGAGCTGTTTGGGAGGGTGGAGGGGGTTAAGACGACAAGGGGGATAGAAGTGGAGGGGGGTGGAGGCTGGGGGGTGTAGATGCTGGGTAGAGGCGGAGGTGGGGTGTAGGAGAGGGTCGATGGGGTTGGCAGCCAGAGGAAGCCTTTATATAATTAATGGGTGAGATGGAAGGTAACTGAGGAGGAGGAGGAGGAAGAGGAAGAAGAAGATGAAGAAGAGTAGAAGGAGGAGGAGGAGGAGGAGGAGGAGGAAGAAAGGATGAGGATGAACAGGAAGAGGAGGAGGAGGAGGAAGGTCAGAACACTGTCAACAATGGACTCGGTGTTACTATGATGTTGCTGGGATGTTATGGTCGCCGTGTGGTGGAAGGGCGTGGGTGAGGGCATGAAGCTTCCTGTGGGCGTGGGTGAGGACATAGAGCTTCCTGTGGGCGTGGGAGAGGGCGTGGGGCTTCCTGTGGGCGTGGGTGAGGACATAGGGCTTCCTGTGGGCGTGGGAGAGGGCGTGGGGCTTCCTGTGGGCTTGGGTGAGGGCGTGGGGATTCCTGTGGGTGTGGGTGAGGGCGTGGAGCTTCCTGGTATATATCGTTCTCAAAGCCGTCTTGTATCTCTCTCTCTCTCTCTCTCTCTCTCTCTCTCTCTCTCTCTCTCTCTCTCTCTCTCTCTCTCTCTCTCTCTCCTTTAATCTAGTCAGCAGAGAAGAGCTAACAGACAGACAGACAGACAGACAGACATACAGACAAACAGACAGACAGACAGACAGACAGACAGACCGACAGAGAACACAGTCTTTGGTGAAGTAGACCATTTCCTGAGTGTAATCATCAGCCATTGTGTACCACCTGGTGATTCCCATGAGCGTCGTGTGGTACGTGGCGTCGTGTGGTACGTGGTGTCGTGTGGTACGTGCCGTCTTGTGGTACGTGGGTCGTCGTGTGGTACGTGGTGTCGTGGTACGTGTGTCTTGTGTACGATGGTGGTCGTGGTACGTGCCGTCGTGCCGTCGTGTGGCATACGTGTGTGGTACGTGGCGTGGCGTCGTGGTACGTGGTGTCGTGTGGTACGTGCCGACGTGTGGTACGTGCCGTCGTGTGGACGTGTCCGACGTGTGTGGTGGTACGTGGCGTCGTGGTACGTGCCGTCGTGTGGTACGTGCCGACGTGGTACGCGTGGTGTGCGTCGTGTGGTACGTGCCGACGTGTGGTACGTGCCGTCGTGTGGTACGTGCCGTCGTGTGGTGTGGTACGTGCGTCGTGTGGTACGTACGTGGTACGTGCCGTCGTGTGGAACGTGCCGTGGTACGTGCCGTCGTGGTGGGTACGTGCCCGTACGTGCCGTCACGTCGTGTACGTGCGTGGACGTGTGGTACGTGCCGTCGTGTGGTACGTGCCGTCGTGTGGTACGTGCCGTCGTGTGGTACGTGGCGTCGTGTGGTACGTGGCGTCGTGTGGTACGTTTCATCGAATTTACCAGAGCTGTCAGGATAAGTTTGCACTCTACACTCTCTGACTTGCATGACAACGAGAGACAGACAGACAGACAGACAGACAGACAGCGAGACAGGATACGGCTGGCTGCCCTCACATGAAACTAATAGTAATATCTTAAGTACTTTGAGCGTGGCATCATCTGCGACCCTTCAGAAAAATAAAAAATTCTCCTCCTTGAAATGGACGGGTGAGAACGTAGTCATCTGCCACACATGAGCTGCAACACACACACACACACACACACACACACGTCACCTCTCATCAGAAGACGCCGCCGTAAGGACAGCCGCCTCTCTTATCACATAAATTACAGAGACCGCGGGGGGGGGTACTGAAGTGACATTGGGAAGACTGGTGATAAGGCGGTGAGGGGGGGGGATTAGGGGGTTGGGGGAAGGGGGAGGGGATTATCAAGGTTCGAGTCTCCTTATAAAACGGCGGCAGTCCACGACTCTAGCAATTTCAACAGCAATTTCTACGGCGTCAAGTGAACTGCTGTTTGAGGCTCCCTACTGTTGTTTGAGGCTTCCTCCTATTGCTGTTTTAGGCTCCGAACTGCTGTTTGAGGTTCCCTACTGCTGGTTGAGGCTCCTTGCTGTAATAAAGAGTCTCTGGTTCGGCTCGTGAGAAGACTCTAGATGGAGACACTGGTTCTAAGGACGGCGCTCCTCTTCACAGTGTTTCTCCTGTGTTCCGGTGAGTGGCCCCGTACAGATAGATAGATAAACAGATAGATAGACAGATAGATAAACAGATAGATAGACAGATAGATAGACAGATAGATAGACAGATAGATAGATAATGCAATGCTCCTAAAAAAAATTATTACAGATTTATTTCAACAAGAACCTCCTCTACTAACCTAACCTAACCTGACCTAACCTAACCTAACCGAACCTGACCATATGAACTCTTTATAACCAGCTGAGGAGGAGTACACGGATGGTTGGCCATTCAGCACTACCACTGAAGGCTCTTGTCCCAGTGGCTTCTATAAGTGTCGCTTCACAGACGATTGCATACACAACTACGAGATATGTGATGGCTTCTATGACTGCCCGTATGGTGACGATGAGGAGAACTGTTTCAGTGAGTAATAATATAATCTTATACCTATTGTCTCTATCTGCTGTATCCGATTTACAACTTTAAAAACATCATTGACTTTATTTTTTTTTTATCGTGTTATAACAGAAGAGTTCATTATATATTCTTATAGGGTTAAATAACTCAGGAAAAACTGATTCATTACAGGAACCACCGAGCCTCCCATAAACGTCTGTCAGGAGCCATTTGAGTTGGTGGGTGAACGTTGTGTGTTCATCGACCCGTTTACAGACCTGTCCTGGCATGAGAGCAAATACATGTGTGAGAAGCTGAACGCTGACTTGATTTCCATCGATTCTCTGGCCCTCTACGGTTCATTGTTGGAGTTTATCAGGGAGAAAGGTAGGTGTTGGGTTGAGGTGGGAGAGGGGTGTTGGGTTGAGGTGGGAGGGGGCTGTTGGGTTGAGGTGGGAGGGTGATGGGTTGAGGTGGGAGGGTGATGGGTTGAGGTGGGAGGGGGGTGGAGAAGTGTGAAGGGATGCTTAGTGGTGAGGGTGAGGTGAGAAGGTGAGGAGGGTGAGGTGAGGAGGGTGAGATGAGGAGGGTGAGATGAGAAAGGGTGGCAGTCATGTGAGGCAGAGGTGAGGAGGGTGAAGGAGGGACCTAGAGTATCTCACAGTTGGTCGCCGTGTCCGCCTACAGACCTAACCTAACCTAACCTAACCTACAGATCTCACCAGTCACGACTACTGGATCGGCGCCACTGACGAGGTGACCGAGGGCAACTGGGTATGGGAGAACGGGAAACAAATGCAGATGGGCTCCCCGCTGTGGTCCATCTACTGTAACTATAATGATTATCAGCAGGTGAGGCGAGGTCGTCTAGTCTAACTCTCTGTGTGTGTGTGTGTGTGTGTGTGTGTGTGTGTGTGTGTGTGTGTGTGTGTGTGTGTGTGTGTGTGTGTGTGTGTGTGTGTGTGTGTGTGAGTCTTCTCCTCTGGCTCTCTGTCTCTTAGTTCATTTTAAGTTACCACAGTTTCCATATATGATCTTCTATACCCTGCCTCCCCCTCCCCCTCTCTCTCCCTCCCCCTCCCCCTCTCTCTCCCTCCGTCCCTTTAACAGTCCTTCAGTGTGCTCTCAACCTGTCTCTCTCACCTCTCAACCTGTCTCTCTCACCTCTCAACCTGTCTCTCTCACTTACCCCCGGCAGGAACCTCTTGCATCTGAAGGTGATGACAAAGACTGCGCCTTCCTTGAGAAAATAAGGTTTTACTACGTAGATGACGACAAATGTGATCAACCCAAGGGCGCCATCTGTGAGGTACCTTTGTATCACTCGGGACCAAGAGCTAACCAGCCAGGCGACTCATCCCAACAAGTTAAGGAAGAAGGAAGTAAGAACGACCTACAAGATTAAGGAGAAACACGAGAAGAGAAAATATTATTAATTCCTCAGAAAAATGACAGTAGAGGCGAGGCAAGGACATACACAGGAACACTCTACTATGAAGTAACCTAACCTAACCTAACTACCATGTACTGTACTGTAGTAGTGAGGAGAGAGTGAGGAGTGAGAGAAGATTACCCTTCCCCACTCTCCTTCGTTCCTTCCACTAGTAACCTGATTTGTAGTATGACATTAAATAAAACACATAAATCATTTTTGTTTTACTTTGTGTGTTTATATTGTTCAGATTAAAACAAATTCATTCTGTTAGCATGAGAGAAAAAAAAATTATGTTTGTTTCATAATAAATATTGAATCCAACCATTATTTCTGTAATCCCGCTACACGTAAATAATTTAATATATTCAAGTATTAACTATAAAACCTGAGATGCTTAATATATAAAAACGGGTCAAGTTAAATCAAAGCCACGGGAAAATAGATAACATTACGAGTTACAATAAGACTTTTACAATAAATAATAACAACATTCACAGGTAAATCACAAGTAAGTTAGTTCCCACTATAGCTACGTCAGCAGTGCCACGGTGCCACATGACTAAGGGAGGCACTGTAGGGGATCACTGCTTATATACCTGGACCCCTCTATATACATTGTCTGTATACTTGCACCATCCCCCCAACTCACCCTTCACCACCTCTCCCTCCCCCTACCTTCACTACCCCCCTCCCCCTACCTTCACTACCCCCCTCCCCCTACCTTCACTACCCCCCTCCCCCTACCTTCACTACCCCTACACTACCCTCCACCTTAGAACTTTGTTTACTACCTGGCTCCCTCCCTCCTCCCTCCTCCCTCCCTCCCTCCCTCCCTCCCTCCCAACTCAAGAGGTATAATAACACAGACAGGAGAAGTATTGAGAACAGACAGACAGACAGACAGAGACAGATAAAGTAGTGACCACAAGTTAAGGAATAATAATACTAACATCACTTCTAAGAGCATGTCATTCACGCTCGTTATGACGGAATTAACGAGTCTTATTTAGTGATGCTGAACCGGATGAAAAAAATAAAAACAGTCATTATGATTTAAATTTATGGCGAAATGTGTGAATACGGAACCGAACAGTGGCAAAATGTACATATGACGACACACATTCATCAACCACACACACACATACACACACACACACACACACACACACAAACACAACGTAACGATCCAAAACAAAGTCACTATACTCTCTCTCTCTCTCTCTCTCTCTCTCTCTCTCTCTCTCTCTCATATAACCCACAGCAGCAAGAGTTTTCCACCGGTAATTCAGACACAGGTAATTGTCTTTGTGTTCACCCCTAAGGTAATTACGATCACATTTAAAGGTAATTGAGTTTTGATTATTTCACAAGATTCAGGTAACTATAATTGTGTTCACCTAAAAGGGTTCACGTTACTGGGTTCAATTTTGTTCAGTTTTCAGTGTGTTCAGTGTGTGTTCAGTGTGTGTACAGTTTATGTGTTCAGTGTGTGTTCAGTGTGTGTTCAGTGTGTGTACAGTGTGTGTTCAGTGTGTGTTCAGTGTGTGTTCAGTGTGTGTACAGTTTATGTGTTCAGTGTGTGTTCAGTGTGTGTTCAGTGTTCAGTGTGTGTTCAGTGTGTGTTCAGTGTGTGTTCAGTGTGTGTGTCAGTGTGTGTGTCAGTGTGTGTTCAGTGTGTGTTCAGTGTGTGTTCAGTGTGTGTCAGTGTGTGTTCAGTGTGTCAGTGTGTGTTCAGTGTGTGTTCAGTGTGTGTTCAGTGTGTGTTCAGTGTGTGTTCAGTGTGTGTCAGTTTATGTGTTCAGTGTGTGTCAGTGTGTGTTCAGTGTGTGTTCAGTGTGTGTGTCAGTGTGTGTTCAGATGTGTGTACAGTTTATGTGTTCAGTGTGTGTTCAGTGTGTGTTCAGTGTGTGTTCAGTGTGTGTACAGTTTATGTGTGTTCAGTGTGTGTTCAGTGTGTGTGTGTGTGTACAGTTTATGTGTTCAGTGTGTGTTCAGTGTGTGTACAGTTTGTGTTCAGTGTGTGTTCAGTGTGTGTTCAGTGTGTGTGTGTGTACAGTTTATGTGTTCAGTGTGTGTTCAGTGTGTTCAGTGTGTGTTCAGTGTGTGTTCAGTGTGTGTTCAATATAGATATTTTCTCCTCACCGGGTAAACAATTTACTCTTAACAGGTAAATCACTTGTATCTGACTCCTCCTCCTCCTCAAGCTCCCAAGTACTCCCTCCTCCTCCTCCCTCCCTCCTTCCCTCCTCCCTCCTCCCTCCCTCCTCCCTCCTCCTCCCTCCTTCCTCCCTCCTCCTTCCCTCCCTCCCTCCTTCCTCCTTCCTCCTTCCTCCCTCCTTCTCCTCCCTCCTCCCTCCTCCCTCCTCCCCTCCTCCCTCCTTCCCTCCTTCCCTCCTCCCTCCCTCCCTCCTCCTTCCCTCCCTCCCTCCCTCCTTCCTTCCCTTCCCTCCTTCCCTCCCTCCTCCCTCAAACATTACAAAATCGTCGAGAAAAGGAAGATAAATTTCCTCAGGCCCTCTAAGGGCTGCGTGAGAGAGAGAGAGAGAGAGAGAGAGAGATCTTGCCCAGGGTGTTGTCATAATCTGTTGAGGGAATAGAACTGACAGGTACAGGTACAGGTGTATGTGTGTGTGTGTGTGTGTGTGTGTATGTGTGTGTATGTGTGTGTGTGTGTGTGTGTGTGTACATAGTATATAAACCTGTTGTTATTTTGTTTTATTGGTGGGGTGGGGGGGCGGTTTGATAGGTGTGTGTTATAAGACTCTCTGCGTATAGATAAGCTGTGTTATAAGACTCCTCTGCGTATATTTATGGGTATCATGACCGGCGTATTGTGTGTTCGTGTACTCATTGCGTATTAAGTAGGGTATCGAAACGTAGATATAGTGACCTGTGTGGATGTAGTTATAGACGGGCGTATAACGTGACCACTAGACGGGCGTACTATATGATGTCAAAAGCTGCCTGCGTAGACGGGCGTAATGTTCAGGCTATTATGGATCAATTGCGTACTAAAACAGAGAGAGAGAGAGAGAGAGAGACAGAGAGAGAGAGAGAGAGAGAGAGAGAGAGAGAGAGAGAGAGAGAGAGAGAGAGAGAGAGAGAGAGAGAGAGAGAGAGAGAGAGAGAGAGAAAAGGTAAATGAACAAAGACCTAAAGAAAAAAAAATAAGACCTTCAAGATTCATTTAAATGGAAATTAAAAACTTCCTTCAAAACTTTCAGTCAATTGGATGTGGCTCCTCAAGACATTATTTTTAAACCCAATCTTGTACTGTAGTTTTATGAAGCCACTTTGGTAGATTCTAATTATGAGTCTCTTATTACTCTACCGCAATGTCGGAGGCTCAGGGGACGGGAGGGGGAGGGGAGGGAGGAGGGAGGAGGGAGGAGGAGGAGAGGAGGGAGGAGGAGGGAGTAGGAAGGAGGGAGAAGGAACGTTAAGCAAACCTCTTCACACACACACACGTCCTTGCATCAACATAATACAAACTTCCTTTATCTCCCCATGTTAGACCATTGGACATTACATACTCCAGGTTGATAGAGTATAGACAGATAGATAGACAGACTAATATACAGACAGATAGACATACAGACACATAGAAATACACACAGACATACAGACAGATCTACAGACAGACATACAGACAGACTAATATACTGATATAGATACACACAGATCGATAGACAGAGAGACAGACAGACAGACAGATGGTAAGGGGAGGAGAGGGGGGAGGGTTATAACGAGTGCTATCCGGTCATACTACAGGTGATTACATATGAAAGATTCTGACCGTGTCCAGACTCTGATACCTGGACGGCCTTTAACAACACTAATTAACTCTTATACACCTGTGAGTCTGAAGATAGAAGTAGATCACTAGATTCGCACGACCTACCTCAGTCTCTTAAATATTTCTAACCAACACTAAAAAGATTTAATTGAAAAGGAGAAACTCGTAATTTTAAAACTCTTAGGAAACTCTATATAATTATCCTTTGAAAGACACAGGGAAAAAAATTCTGGAGTTACCGTAAAATAAATCTTTTTTTTTTCGGATGATTCGTTTTAGGAAGCAGTTCTGTAAAAATCTTCTCCGGAATCCAATTTGGAGAAATGTTCTAAAATTGCCCACCAGCCGATTTCATGATAGCTACAAATCGGCCAGCCTCCAGATTTCCAGGAAGACCTACACTCTCTCATGAGACTTGAACTCTGTGTGTATATGTGTGTGTTAGGTAGGTAGGTCAAGGGTCAACCAAAGTGCCAAGACTAACGTGACCCAACCAATGAGACGCTAACACCCTCCTCCTCCACAGGTCACGAAAGGTCAGAGGCTCTTGGTGTGGCTCCTCCCTACAATCGCTAGTCACTCCCAAAGATCTGATTCTCGGGGATAAATTTTGATTGCTAGACTGTGTCAGGTGAGAGTTCGATGAGCGTTGGGTGAGCGTTGGGTGAGCGTTGGGTGAGCGTTGGGTGAGTGTGTTCAGTATATAAGTAGTGGTGTGTGGGGCGGCGTTACGTAACACTACACAGTGGGAGAGTGGTATAGTAAGTGGGACGATGTGACTCTACAGACAGGTTACAACAGAGCTTTGAGTGAGGTATGGAATCTGAGAGACGAGTAATATCAACAGCATCCATCCATCGTGTGTATAAGATGTATTCTCATTCCTCAGGGGAGATTGCCTTCTCAAACGGGGTGTAGGCGGTGATGGTTTGTGTATGTGAGGTAATATTGGCGTCTATGTATGGTGTTGGTGTGTGGTATAGCACTGGCATGTGTAGGTTTGGTTAATGCAAATATCAAGCAAAAACATATTGAAAAATCAACTCTGTTTTCATCACTTTCTACAAATCATTCTCAGTCAACAGCCCACTTTAAGGTGATCAAAAACATAACTATACCAGTACTGTAATCATGTAAACTCGACCTAATCTAACTTGGGCAGCTCAAACAACAACAACAACTAATAATAATAATAATAATAATAATAATAATAATGATAAACACAACTGTACAAATGCACAACTTTACAACACCACGAGGGATTTTAAAAGCGCCATCTTCTGCTTCATCGTGTATAAAGAAATTATCAGAAAACGTGATAAATTTTCAGGATACACTAATTTACTGTAGGTTTTTCTCGAGAACAGTAATAATAGTAATGTTTATGAGGTTGGTAACTACCGCTAACGAAAAAAGA